AAAGAAGCTAATGTTTTGGGGTTGTATTTTCCCTTCCAGTGTCTTCTGTAATGCTGGATTTGTTTGTAGGTATTGTTGAAATTTGTTTTTGTCATTGAATATCTTGTTTTCTCCGTCTATGAGGACTGAGAGTTTTGCAGGGTATAGTAGCCTGGGCTGACATCTGTGTTCTCTTAGGGTCTGCATGATATCCATCCAGGCCCTTCTGGCTTTCATAGTGTCTGTTGAAAAGTCAGGTGTGATTCTAATGGGTTTGCCATTATATGTTACTTGGCCTTTTTTTCTTGCAGCTTTTAGTATTTTTCCTTTGTTCTGTATACTTACTGTTTTGATTATTATGTGGAGGGAGGATTTTCTTTTCTGGTCAAATTTGTTGGGTTTTCTGTAGGCCTCATGTATTCTTATTGGCATCTCCTATAAATTGGGGAAATATTCTTCAATGATTTTGTTGAAAATATTTTCTGGGCCTTGGAGAAGGGAGTCTTCTTTTTCCTCTATACCTATTATTCTTAGGCTTTTTTTCTTTTCATATTGTCTTGGATTTCTTGAACGGTCTGTGTCAGGAATTTTTGGATTTAACATTTTCTTTGACAGATACATCGATTTCTTTTATTGTATATTCTACACCTGAGATTCTTTCTTCCATCTCTTATAGTCTTTTGGTTATGCTTACCTCTGTAGTTCCTGTTTTCTTCCCTTGATTCTTCCTCTCCATTATTTCCTCCATTTGTGTTTTCTTTAATTTTTCCAATTCTATCTTCCGGTCTTGAGTTGTTTTGTTAACTTCCTTCACCTGTCTGATTGTACTTTCCTCTTTTTCTTTTAGTTCCTTCAACTTTCTTTCTTTTATTTCATTCAGTGCTTTAAGCATTTCCTTTCTAAAGGCCATAAACTGTTTGGCTGCAGCTTCCTCTATGGAAGGCAATATTCTGTTTGAGTTTATCTTCCTCTATGTCTTTACGTATCTTATTTGTTTCCTCTGTTATCATCTTCATGAGCATAGTTGTTAAGTCATCTTCTTGGATTTCAGTTATGCTGTGGTGTCCAGGGCTACTTGCCCCTGGGTAACTGGGTTCTGGAGATGCCATATTGCTCTGTCTTTTGTTGCTTGAGCTTTTACGCTGTCCTCTACCCATTGTGCTATCTTAGGTGTTTGGTGTTATTTTATGGTGGTTCCTGGGGATCCTGTGGTGGAAGGAATTCCCTTTGCAGAAAGCTGGTTTTTCCTGAAGGATGTCTTCTCAGCTTTTTGGGTATAGTCCCTAGATGGCTGGCGTTTTTTTCAGGAGTTGCTGCTGCTCACCTCAGGGATAGAGATGTGAGTGGTAACTGTGGTCTTTGTTAGTCGAGAGGGTTCTCCTCTCACCCAGGGAAGTCCTGAGGACAGCTGCCCTGTTTCTGGGTTTCTTGCTGTAAATTTAATGATCAGCTGCTGTGACCCATTTAGACATCTGGCGCTCATCAACTGTTTGTGCCTTTGTCTGGAGCACAGCTGAGTGATGGCGGCTGGGCCCCGCTGGTCTGCTAGTCTTTTTCCAGGGAAGGACTGGGTGATTTAAGTCAGTACAGTGTCCTTTCTTTCATGTGGATTCTCTGGAGACAGGGACTCCCAGTCTCTTTGTTTGCCCTGGTGTGCACTGCTCAGTCTCTGCCAGCTGGCTGGCCGCAGAAACTGCCTGTGTCTGGAGCACAGCTGAGTGATGGTAGCTCAGTCTCCGCCAGCTGTCTGGTGCGCAGAAACTGCCTGGGTCTGCCTTTCCAGCCTTTGGGAGCCTGAGTGTCTCCCTAAACTGGGTAATTTTCCCGAGACCTTTTCGGGTTGTGGGTGTTGGCTAAGTGCTCTGAGATCAGACCAGCCGTTTCCCTCCCTGTGTGTTTGCACGGGACAGTGAAACTCATTCGCTGGTGCCCTGGTGCCCACAGTTCTATCTCAGGCGGCGAATCAGGCACGCAGGCAGGCAGGGCTCTGTGCAGGAGCCTGGGTCCCGGCTCTGGCTCCGGGCTGGCTCCTGGGGCGCCCGTGGAACCTGAGTCTTTTCCAGAGGATATCTGGGTGACCTAAGGTCGGTCCCAATCGTTTCCTGTACAGTGGGATTATCTCTCGACTGAAAATTCCAGTGTCTGATAGTGTGGTGCGCATGGTTCTGTCTGGGACCGTGACCAGAGACACTGGCTTGTGGCTCTGGGCTTGGGCTGGGGCTGGCGGCCGACAGCCAAGTGTCTGACGGAACCGGGATCTCTTCTGTGGTTTAGCTGGTTGAGTTAAAAGCTGATTGAATCCCCCACTGTGGGGTATCCTCTCACCTGGGGAACACAATGATTGTGTTTTATGGCCGCGAGTTCTGATTGCTGGTCACTGTGTTGATCCTGCTGCTGCTGCTCAGAATGAGAGTCCTCCAGGTGCCACCATCTTGCCCTGCCTCCCTCCTAGTATTTCTTTTATGAACTTGTGCCCTTATGTTTGGTGGTAGATCTTAAGAATTTCAATGTTTGTTTTGTTTGTTAGTTTGTTTGTTTGGTGGATTTGCCTTTGATGCGTTTGTATTTGTCATTTCTTATCTATTCTGATGACTTTTGGTGTATTTTGTCACATAGTAAAGTGGCGCTACAGCAGCTTAAATAATACTTCAGATAATGCATAAAGTATTGTTTTTTAATTTGATCTTTCCGAGGACTATTTCATGCTCTTTCACACATGTATAGTTCTGTATACTCGTGTGAAAGTGCTCACTGGTTTCTGTATATTGTTGCTATTTTTATTAACAGCTAATATTTATTGAAAAAATTACTAGCCACTTTGCCAAACACCTCACTATATGTTTTATTCAGAGGTCTTGGGGTAGATATCAATAACAATGGCCTTTCTTTAAAATTTTATTTTATTTCTTCTCTTACACATCTTAAGCGCAGCCTCTGTTTCTCCCAGTTTTCTGCCCCGGCCCAGATCCATTGCTCTTCTGTTTCCCTTCAGAAAAGAGCAAGGTTCCCTCTGTTAATAACGAGCATGGCATAACAAGATGCAATAAGACTGGCCATAAGCCCTCATATCAAGGCTGGGTGAGGCAACCCAGTAGAAGAAAAAGGGTCCTACAAGCAGGCAAAAAAGTCAGAAACATCACCACTCCCATGTACTGTTAGCTGTCCAACGAAATCAGAGCTAAACAATCAGAGCCTGAATGCAGAGGGCCCATAAGGATCTGTGGTTGCCACTCAGCCTCAGAACCCCTGCTTTGTTGATTCTCCGGTGTCCTTGACCCCTCTTGCTCCTACAGTCCTTCCTTGCCCTCTTCTGAAGGGTTCCCTGAGCTCTGCCTAATGTTTGGCTGTGGGTCTCTTCATCTGATACTGTCAGTTACTGTATCTGATGACAATTGGTCTAGGCACCAATATATTTTGTTAGTATAGCAGAATATCATTTGGAATCACTTCATAGACTTTTTTCTAAGGTATAAATTAATTAATAACTGGGCACAGTTATATTCTGGATGTTATAAAACAAACCAATGATAACTTGGCTATCTTAACTTAAACAATACACTTAGGTACTATGGCTTTAGCATGTAGTTTATTTATTTTTATTTTTTAAGTTATTTGTTTACATCCTAATCACAGCTTTCCCTCCCTCCTCTTTCCTTCCAGGCCCTCCTTTTCATTTCCCCTTCCCTACCACCTGTCTGCCTTTTCTCCTCAGGTAATGGGAGACCTCCCATGGATATCTCCTTGGAATATCAAGTTGCATCTTCTATTGAGGCTCGAGAGGGCAACCCAGTTTGGGGAAAGTGCAGACAATGTAGTTAGAGATAGTCTCTGCTCATGTTTTAGGAGTCCCACATAAAGACCCAGCTTCACACCTGTTACATATGTGCAGAAGTCCTAGGTCCATCCCATAGCATATAGTTTCTTGAGCATATGGTTTCATGTGAACAGTTTTGAGAACTGCTTGCAAATGGTATTAGTTTAACAACTGGTTATTTAATATCAGGTACATTCTTCTTACCAGGGTAAGGGTGCCTTGGTGTTTATGTTGTGAATGCATGTCACATGTCATCCATGGATATACATACAGAGGACGTTTTCTGAATTTCTTGTCTTTTTCGTGGTACTCATTGAACCAAGTGCCTCATAGAAGCAAGCCATTTGTGACCAAGCTTTCTGGCCTCTGGGAACATCTTTTGACTCCCAGTATTCTACTAAAGAGACTTATACTATCTCATTATTAAATAAACATTAAAAGGTGACCATATGGGTTAATATATGGCTAAGAATATCAGTTTTACTTTGCTTAGCTATGTACACAATTGATAACTATGGAAATAATTGATAGCTAGGAAATAAGCCACACTATGCTTTGTGAAAAGTTTAAATGAAATGAAATCCATAGAGCAGTGGAATTACATGTACTGTCAGAGCATTTTTTTTTGTGAATTTAGGCACTGAATTATGGAATCATTTGTTGAAGGGCTGTGTTGTTATGTAAAATCACAGAGCACATCTGTAACAGTTTTGCTCCTGAGGATAAGCAGTATGTTTGTTCACTACGTGTGCAGTAACTCACAGAATCACTAGGCCTTTGTCGGTGATGAAAGCAAAGTTTAAATCTTGAAGTCAATGCAAAACTTTTGTATTTTAAACCAAGTTGTATTCATTGAATGTAAGGTTATTATAGCTAGATACAGTGAAAGAAAATTATTCGTGTAATTTTTGTAAAAAATAAGGTAATTGGTTAAGAAAACACCAATATATTTGCATTCATGTTTTAACAGCAGTTTAAATAATTTGTAGTAATAAGTTTAGGATTGTTTTCATTACTTAATTTATAAATCATCAAAGTGTAGTTTTAATTGCTAAAAATTTGACTTTCGGCTGCATTTTTTTAATATTTGCAAATTTTACAGTTCACATCTGCAGATAGAATAAAGTCTGACATACTTTAAATTGTATGATATATCCTCATAAGCTTAAAGTTTAACTGAAACTTTTTTTGGCCTTTTACTTTTCAGCACTGCATTACTTTCCAGAATACCAGTGGCTGGTGGATTTCACGGTGGCTGCTACCATTGTGTATTTAGTAACTGAAGTCTACTACAGTTTCATGAAACCTACACAGGAAATGAATATCAGCTTAGTCTGGTGCCTCCTGGTTTTGTCTTTTGCAATGTATCCTTCAAACCATCAATAACACTGCAAACTTTGTTTTTTTAACTAAATATTATTAGACATTGTGTTTAATTTTTTTAAATTTCATTGATTGTTAGAGAAGTTTCCTTTGTTGAATTCTTTACAGAATTTTTAGGATATATTAAATTTATTGTTTGACAGTTTCTTATACAGTATAACTTGGTTGTATTTAATCAAAATTCTTTATGTATTTAATCATAATTCTTTATGTATTTAATCTTTATGTATTTAATCAAAATTTTAACTTGTTAAAATTTCAAAATAGTAGCATAGTTTAAAAAGTAAAAAGTAGAGAAAGCTGTCACCTCATTCAATTTCTTTTTTATCCACACAGAGTATCAGAAAGGCTACCAGCCATTTTTGCCTTTTTACGAGCCTTTTGTACATGGTAGGAATAAAGGAAATTTTTCTTCCAGGTACTTAATTATTAATTACTTTTTGATCCTGGAACATGTATATTATTATTTTTCCTTTTCCTCTTCTATTCCCCCAATAGAGATAACATTTCATTAAGTTTGACTGTGCAACCTATGAAAATATTCTTTGCAGAGAAACATTTTATTGTCTTTCTTGAATAATTTATTTTTATTTTTATTTTTTAGAAACTGAGTTTTCCTAGTGCTATGGCCCATCAGTAGGTCAATACATCATTTCCATTTTGTCCCCCATAGAACTATCGCTCTGGATCCCTCGTTTCTTTATAAACTGTGTGCAGTTATGTTTAATGCACTACTTTACTATATGTGTGTACATGTTGGGAGAGAGCAGCTTGCAAGAGTCAGTTTTCTCCACCATGTTGGTCTCAAACTGAAGTCAAGTCGTCAGGCTTGCCATCCAGCACTGGTACCTGCTTGGCGGTCTCCATTCTCATCCTCATAAGATTTTACATAGCTCTTGTCCTGGAACACTGTTCTTTGCTGTCTTCCTAAAAAATTCTGTGTCCCCTTTTGGTGCCTTGATCTGTTTCTTGGCTCACGATCTATCTGAAAACATGAACTCTTCTGCAATTACTAGAAAAGTGGTTTTTTAAGTTTGTGTGCCTTGGTTGTCTTTACTGATGTATAATTTGGCTCAGTAGATAATCCAAAACCAGTTTTTTTCTTAAGAATTCTGAAGTGTTGAAGAACTGGGTACTCTGTTGACACCATGTTGTGCCTCCTTCTCCCCGCTGAGGTACGACCCTCTTGGAACTTGTTCTGTTTGTTTTGGTACTCTGAAAGTTAAATTTTGCTTTTAAGTCCTATGTTTACCCTTTAGATTAACTGAACAAAGCTTTGTGCACTTAATTTTTTATTTTAATTTTATATTAAATACAGTTCATTCACTTTGTATCCTAGCTGTAGCCCCTTCCTCATTTCCTCCCAGTCCCACCTTCCCTCCCTCATCTCCTTCCATGCCCCTCACCAAGTCCACTGATAGGGGATTATCTGATGAATCTCTTTATTTTGAACATTTTAGGGATACCTATTGCAGAGGAAGTAGAATCTCACATTAGCATCTGGAATTGTCTGTATTTCTTATGTGTGCTAATTATAATTTTAGGTTTTCTAAAAGATTTTCTTAACTTTCTCAACATTATGTTTATTGTTTAGACTCTACTGCCATTTAAAATGTTCATGAACTCTTCATTTTTAACCCTTCTATGAAAATGCTAGTTTTATGATTACATTATTTTGTATCTTAAGATATTAATGAGAAGTATCACTTATGAAATGCCTCTTTTTTCACTTTAGTTGATACTTATATGGAAATTTATATGCTTCCTTTACAGGTTATTTTATGTGGTGTAGCCATTAGTATATTACTACCAGAAACAAACACACACTTGTAACTGGCTACTCATATATTTTCTGTCATTTTTCATTTCATTTCATATTGTTTTGTATAATGGCAGCAATCCTTCACAGTCTTCTGCAGTAAACTAGCTCTACTCCATTGAAGTGGTGTTGTCATGAAAGGTTTCAAACAGTAGTATCTCCCCACAGGAATATTTAAGTTTGCTGTGTGTTCATAGTAGAGAGTATAAAAAGTGGTTGAGTTTACAGTCCAGGCAATTTTCTTTAAGCTTCACCTCTTTGTGAAGAAGCGGGGGAAAAGGGAGGAAGTAGAATTGGGTGTGACTGGGTATATGAGCTTTATTTAACATTGGTTGTGAGCTAATAACCTGCAATTATGCACATTCAAGAGACCAAAATTAAATTTCAAATGTCTGTATTGACACCAAAAAAGAGTGTATTGAGAGTTTTACTTGTCCTAGCTTTAACTGTTTCCATCTTTAACTATATGAGCTAAGTCTAATAGAAATGACTTGTGTCTGGGATTTCTTCATTTCATTATTGTTTGTCCTTGCTTATGAATCAAATGCAAGTTTCTATTACTGCATGGGACAGTAGCTCTGTGGAACTCTGAGCACATATACATTAATTGATTCAGAAATTCTCTGCAGATTTTACTAATGAAATATTCTTAGTTAATGTAGTTCTCAAATTAGATACATATAACTTAATCAGTTCAGTGAATAGTCATAAACTAATTGCTTTATTTCCATAATCATTTTGTTTTTTTCTTTCTTCACTTATATTGACATTTTTAATCAGACAGCAGAAATGATTTCTATAGAGTCTTAACAGCCCTAAAAGAATGAGAATGACATTTTGAATATATGACACCAAACTTAAATGTTGGAACCTGGAAGTGTGCTACCTCTTGTCATCAGTGCACTCTTAAACCCACACTAATTCTTATCTTCCCTCCTCTCTAGTTGTACTTCTGTGCACCATTGGTGACCCAGTCGTTAGGTTTCAGTCCATTTATGTCTTGTGCTACAGTGTAAGGAAGATAACAGTGATGGCCTCGCAGCACAAGGAAGCAGTTGTAGTAATCACCTCTGTTTTGTATTGATGTCTTAGAGTTATAGGAAAAATGTCTTGATCTTAGAATTATTAAGTATTTTATTCTCATCTATTAATATATGAAAAATAAAAAGATAAAGTCATCATAGCAAAAGCCATTGATCCTGTGATAGAAATAAAACATTTAAAATGTTAAAGTAGTTTACAACATACAAGTAGGTTTTTTTAAATAAACTTTCTTTGAGAATAAACTGAAGCACAGAGAGATGTGTCAATTACATGAATTTCAAGAAAACTATGCTACAAAGAATTCTAAGGCTTCTTAGACCTATTGTACTTGGCTAAAGAACTAAGTCATTAGTTGCAGCTACAATGTTTGTATTATACAATATTAAAAGTGTAAGGTATTATTATGTTTGTTTTTATACCTAGCTAAGTTTTTAATTTGCCATGAATGTAGACATGAAAATTTTCATAAAACCAGAAGTTGAAAATAGTTTAAATGAAAGTAAGTACTACAGTTTTCCAGTTGAGGCAGTATTATTTGTAGACATGAAAAGGTATTTAAGTTAAATATTACCTTATTTGTTGTGGTTAATAGGTAGCTATACCAAAGTTGAGCAGCTCAGGTGCTACCTCTAACCTATTAAAAGGTTATAAATTATAATTTTTTTAAACAAACATTCTGCTTTAAATTAACATGGAAATTGGGATTCTGCAGTATATTGCTTTAGATGTCAAGTCCAGTGAGAAAAGAACAGATCTCGGCCAAAGTACTAACCTGAACTTGAGAACTCTATGTAACAAACATGTCTAAGCTTATCTTGTGTGTATATGCACACATATAAAGGTGAGGGGACAACATGAGGAACTTATTTCTCTACCATTCATGTCAGTTCCTATGGATCAAACTCAGGGTTGTTAGGCTTGGCAACACATGCCTTCAGAGAGTGAGCCAGTATGCCATTCCCAGGCCTGTTTCTTAAACTTAAATAGGTCTTTTATGACACCAGGCCTTTCAAAATACTAAGATTTCTGGTCAGAGTTCTGGGATGAAAGAGGGAAGCTGAATAATAGGACCTAATTTCTATCTACTGATTTATAATTAGTTTGACTTACTCCTTTTAGCTGTGAAGTGATTTTTTTGTTTTGTTTCTGAAACACAAAATTCAAGAGTGGCCTTTTATTTTAATCTAGAACCGCGATCATTTTTGTTTTTAAAATAAAGGTCATGTTTATGCTTTCAGAATATCTTTGGTATTTTTCTCTGTAATCTGGTTAGATTGAGCCTGGCTCATTATAAGCTTATTTTGTGATATAGGTTAAAATATGCATGGTAAGTTTTTTAACTTTTGGAAGAATTTATGTTCCTTTTTCCCCTGAGTAATAATTAAGCCTGTACATCTAAGAAAGAAAATATGAATAAGTGTTAAGGTAATATTATAAACTTTTTGTACTATTGAATTGGAATGATTATCTTGAAAAGGATTTTACTAGATAGGTAATAAGTAGAGATTTGTTATTGTTTTTAGGGTTTTATCTCCCTCTCTCTCTCTTTGTGATGTAGAATTAAAAGTGTAATATATTTTAGTTGGTTTTCCACCAAGAAAAATAGATGTGGGTAGCTTAATCATTTGAATAGGAGAAATATACTAACAATTTTTTATAATAATCACAAAATGAGTATATAATATCTTTTTCCCTAGTTGGACAAATTTCAGTTTATATGAAAATCACTTAAGTAGAAACATAGTTATGTTTTTAAAAATAATCATGAATTTGTGAAAAATGAGAGGTTTTATGCTTATTTCATTAAAATGTAAATTATACTTGGATATTGACTAATATTTCTACTTGGAAAATAGTCTCCTTTCTGTTACTTTTTCTGTGATTTTCATTTAATAACCTGTGTATTCTGGGAGTAGCATTGTCCGTCTATGCAGGTTCTTTCTATTCAAACTATTGTTTAGAAATTAACTTGCTAAACTAATTTCTGTAATGCTTTTTCATACATCCTAAGTTTTGTTTAACCTACCTGCTATTTTCTTTCTTCTTATCCACTGTCCCATCCTAGTCCCACTTAATTCGTTAACTTCTGGCCCAACTGCCTTTCTTTCATATCACATGAATCCTTACAGGCTTTCATTTGATTTTCATACACCCTTCCTTATATGTCCTTTCCTGCGTACACCTTTCCATCCCCAATAGTCTAGCACTCTTTATTTTTAACCTATAATCTATTTTCTCTTCTTCCTTTAATGTACTTCCCATATCCCCTTTTAATTTCCTGGCTTCAACTTGTCTTCCAAGTTAAACACACATAAGTTTGCAACTAGGATACAAAAATAAGAGGGAAGTTGAGCTATTTATGCTTTGGGGCCTAAGATGCCAGTCTTCAAATTCTATTCACTTACCTGCAAATTTCTTTATTTTGTTATTCTTTGTACCTGAACAACATAACATTGTATGTACATTTTCCCGGCCTAGTCATCTGTTGGTTTATCCTGGCTGTCTCATTTTCTTGCTGTTATGAATAAAGGAACAGTATATATGAATGTATAAGTGTTTCAGAGGAAGGCCCTTTTAATATGTTCCCTTTTAATGTCTGTATAGCTGGGCCTGTACTGCTGTATAGCAGTTTTATTTAGAACTTCCTGAAACCCTTGAGGCTGATTTCCACTACTTTATACTTCCACCAACAGTGTGTAAGAGTTTCCCTTTTACCACATCTATGCCAGCTTTTCTTGTCATTTGCATTACTGGAGATGGCTCTGTCGATTAGGGTGACATAATCTTAAAATAGCTTTAATTGCATTTCTCTAATGGCTAATGATACTGAGCACTTTTTTCCTTTCTTTAATTTTTATTTTATTTTTTTATTAGAGTTTATTCGCTTTATATCACAGCTGTAGCCCTCTCCCTCATTCCCTCCCAATCCCAACCTTCATCCCTCCCAAGTCTACTAATAGGGGAGGTCCTCCTCCCCTTCCATCTGAACCTAGCCTCTCAGGTCTCATCAGGACATTGTCCTCCTCTGTGGCCTGGTAAGGTTCTTCCCCTCTCAGGGGGACGTGGTCAAAAAGCCAGCCACAGACTTCATGTCAGAGACAGTCCCTTATCCCATTACTAGGGAACTCACTTGGATACTGAGCTGCCATGGGTTACATCTGAGCAGGGGTTCTAGGTTATCTCCATGCATGATCCTTGGTTTGAGTATCAGTCTCAGAAAAGACCCCTGTGCCCAGATATTTTGGTACTGTTGCTCTCCTTGTGGAGCTACTGTCCTCTCCAGATCTTACTAACTCCCCCTTCTTTCATAAG